CAGAATATTCATAGATGATGAACAAAACCTAATGATTTCACCTGAGGAAAAGTAAGAAAATGGCAAAAGGGCTAGCGAATTCCCAATAATTTATACTGTTCTTTAGCCTCTTTCATGCTGGTTTGACATTCATGCAAGAAGCTTAACAATGGCCATGGAGCAATCATTATACTATTATAATGCAGATTTTGTCTGGGAAAAAAAAAAAGTTTCAAACATTGCCTTGGCACATTCCTGCTAAAAGCATCATGAGCTAGAGTAATTTATCTGTCAAAATTGCAGGCATGTCATGATCTATCTCTTAACGAATCCTAGGCAACCATTAATTAATTGTTCTTTTTTTTTTTAGTCTGAATAAGTTCCAAGCACACACATATTCCCTTCTTATTTTAATTTTGTCTCCATGTCAGTAAACAATCTCTCATTAAAATGAGAGCTCCTAATGCTTGCAAGGGTGACTGGTAATCTCTGCCAAGTTGGTAGGATTTTATTGTCTTCCCGTGTGCCAAAACAAGACACAATTATATATTATTATTATAAAAAATCAAATAGAACAGAAAACATTGATTAAGCTTGTCTATTTTGATAGATTCTACAACCCGAAGAAACAAGATAAAGGACAAGCACCGATCAAGCCAAGAGAAAGAACCCTAAACAACCAGCTCTAAAACAAATTTGTCTCTCAATGTTTTTTTGTTCTTTGTGAGTTTGTATCTTTCCACAGAGGGCCAGGCGGTGGCTATGGTAGAGGCTGAGCATCAATGGGATTAAATGAATGATCAGTATTATAGGAGAGGTTATAATTTAAAGTATTTTTTATTTAAAAATATATTAAAATAATATTTTTTATTTTAAAAAAGTTATTTTTGAAATTAACGTAATTATTAAAACAGTAAATTATTTTATTACAAGTGTAAAAGAGAATTTCACATATTATTTGTTGTTTAATTTGTACATTATTAATCAAATATATATATTTTTTATATCATCATCGAACACAACTCCATCCTTTATTTCATCCCATCCCATCTATATTGTCCTATTTATTCTATTTTATCTTTGGACAAAAACCAAACGTTAGTTTAAAGTTACCTTGAAGTTGTAAAGAACCGTTGTTAACAAAATATTTAAATATAGCTTTGTAAATTGTTATGCCAAAAGCTAAGAAGTGTTCAGCCATGAAGCTCTCTCATGATGTACTAGAATAAAATTATTTGGTGTAAAAATAATGATTAATCAAATATTTATATCAATATTTTTTTTTAACTTGGTTTAGAAAGTATAAAATTAATGGGAAAAATCTTAGTACTTGTAAAATAGTTCTTAACGATAGAATTTAGAAATTTTATAATGATAAAATTAATAATTTTAAATGAAAATAACAAATTATAAATAAATAAAAAAGATTCAAATTCTAAGAATAATTTTTTTTTTATTTAAAATCCCCTAAAAGTTTAAGTATATAAACTTGGAGAATAGAAAATTATAAACTATTTATCTAAATAGTTCAGGTGATATTTATACCTTTCCAGTCTTGTTATTTTGATGGAATATGGGGGGTTGAAAAAGTCATAATTAATAAGATGTAAATATGATAAGCTCTTAAAAAACCTTTCATATACCTACAAGTGTAAATAAATAAATAAATCATGTTAATAATTTTAAGATAGAACCCTATAATCATAACATGGATCTTTAAAATTAATTGGGTTTGGCTTGTAGCCACACCTAAAATAAATGAATCTAGTAGTTCATCAAACTTATAATATCTTAATCTCAATTTACAATTGAATTCGAGTATATTAAATTTAACATCTTCTCAAACTCATAATATCTTGGGGCTTAGCTCATAACTAAACCTGAATATATTAGATTTGATGAAATGAAAAATCTACAATGTCTTAAAATTAATTTATAGTTGAACTCAGGTATATTAAATTTAATAATTTATTAGATTTATAATAACATGTACTCAATTTATAAGATAATCCAACTAGCCAATCCTAAAAAAATTTAGGCTAAACTCATAATTAAATCTAGATATATTAAATATACAGCTTTCATATCCATGTTCATTTGATTTATCATCAAATTATGAATTTGGGTTCTTCCTTGACATCAAAATATTGAGTAAAAAAAAATATTGATTTAGCACCTTCAAATTCGATAAGCATTTTTCCTCGTTTAGTTCGAATTGTTAGACTTCAGAGAAAACTCTGTGTATATGTATATATATCTGTTATGTTTCGTTTTGGTGGGTGATGGTATTTCTAGAGAATATTTGCTAATTTTCCATCCAATCAGATTTCAAAAAACATTTTGCTATCTATCCCTGTGCTTAAAAAAATCATGACATACATTTCCTTACAATATCTTTTCATACTTGAATTAAATATAATAACATGAAAATCAAGGAAAATAAAAATAAAAAACATTTATATTAAGTTTTAACATTCAACGACAAGGATAATGACAGTAAACAATATGGATTAGGTATCAGACACATTTTGATAAGTGTTATCAATCCATCTCAATGTATCAAACTAAAACTTGATGAAGTTCATAGTTTATAATAAAAAAAATAATTAATCTAATAAAATCTAAGTGATCTAACTATTTAAACCATAATATCATTATAAAAATTAAAATAATATCATTTTAATTTTTAAAAATAAAAAAATAATATTATTATTTTAAGTATATTGAGTTAACTCATTCAATTCATGATTGAAACCTAAATTAAAATAAATTTAATAACTTTATTTCTGAATATCTTATATATGCCCATCTTGCATAAGATTGGATATTTTATCTCTCAATTACAAAATAAAAGGGAAAGGACATATTTATCCCTAGATAATCACAAAATCATCAACTAGGTCCCCAAAGAAAATAAAACCCAATTGAGTCCCTCATCTATCAAGTGTTACCCAATTAACCGCTGCCTTGAATTTTTATTTTATTTTTTCATAAGAATAAAACAAAAAGGACATGTTTTTCTTAAAAAGATGTTTTTTGTCATGAATTTTAATGATATTGATTAAAAATTAATTATTTCAAGGACCTAGTTGAGATCACATGATATTGGAGTTACATATAGCATCCTTAGCCCAAAAAAGAGGAGGAGGAAGAAGAAGCAATTATCTGTGAATATATATATATATATATATATATATATATATATATATCAATGTGATATAACTTGTTTTTTTCTTGAAAATTCAGAATATGATCTTCATTAATATAAAAGTATAATTCTAATTGGATTATTAACAAAACTTCTAAGAAAACTATTAATGTTTATTATGGTAATTCATTGCTTATATGAACATAAATAGTGATGAACCTTCTCAGTTATTTTTAAAATTTTATTTTAAAATATTTTTTAATTAATCTTTTTGTTAATAAAACAAAGCTTTCAATTGAATTCGGAAGATAAAATTTAAAGTGAGGGAATCATCATGTAAAACACCAGAAAATGCAAAGTTAATTTTAAAATTTATAAATTTTTTATTTTGATCAAAAAAATTATTTTATTTATTTTTCAGCTCTTAAATTAAAGAGAATAAGAGAAACTCTATGAAAAATAACAAAAGTGTTGTTTGGCCAGAGTCTCACCTTTGAAATTGAAGATATTTGTGTCTTTTAATTTGTTTTCTCAACAATAGTTTGATTTTTTTCTTTAAGGAAGGAGATCGATTTCTATTTTTAATTTTTTTGATTCAATTAATTTTTATTTTTAGGTGTGATTTTAAAATGTTTTGGAGTTGTTAGATGGTTTGTATAGGTTTTTATGGTCTTGGGGTAAAGATTAATAGAAAAATAAATTTTAAGGACATACCCCCTTTATTTTTTAGCTATTATAGTGGTAACTGAATTCTAAACGACAATTTAAGTGATTTGTTTTTTTATCTAAAATATATTTTAGATATTATTTTGTTAAATAAGAATATAGTAATATTAGAAATATTTTTATAACTTGTCATTGTTTTATTTTTAATTTTATCCAATTGCTTTTTTAATAGTATATATTTTATTTTTTATATAATTAAATAAAAATAATTTTAAAAAAATATTATTAAACTTAATATTCTAAATTACAGGTTTAATAAGTTAACTTGAGATGTCATTATATAAATATTTAAAGAAATTATTTTATATATATTAAAATTAAATTTCATAATAAAAATTTTACTTATAAATATAAAATAAATTAGCAATAGCTGTATATTTTTTATATTTTTTAAAAAATTATCCAGTAAAAAATTAAAAAAAAATATAAATTAGTCTTGCCTTAGCCGGAAGAGATTATACGCTAAAAATTAATCTAAAAAAACATATAAAAATATTACTAGAAAAATCATGACGTTGGCAAACAGAAATGAAAAGGTTAAGAAATTGACAACTCATCCAAAGAGATCAATTTCAAAAGCAAAATCCCGTTCAAACGACCTCCCGTTTTGAAATTCCTTTGACCCAACAAGCACGCCGGTTCCAAAAAGATTCCACCAAAAATTACAAAATAAAAAATAGATTCCCTTTCCCTTTCCCTTTCAATTTTCAAAATCAACAAATCAATCCCCCCCTTTTTTTTCAAAACTTTTTAAATAAAATATAATCATCACTCACTCAATCTACTTTGTTTAAAAGATGCTTTATATTATATTATTATATTTTTTAGAGTGTTTTTCAATTAAAAATATATTAAAATAATTATTTTAATTTTACCTATTAAAATTATATTAAAGAATAAAAACTTTGTTTAAAAGATGTTTTATAAAAAAAGTTAAATAAAATAAAATCATTACTCACTTAATCTATTTTGTTTAAAAGATGTTTTATATTGAATTATTATATTTTTTTTAAAGTGTTTTTCAATTAAAAATATATTTAAATTATTTTTTTATTTTTTAAAATTTATTTTTTATTCCACTGTATTAAAATTATATTAAAGAATAAAAAAATAATTTGAAATAAATAAATAAATTTTATGAAAAATATTTTTGAAATATGAAAATTATAATCCTAAAACCCATCCTTAATCCCTCCGAACAACAGGATCAATATAAACGAAACTGAATTGTAATAAATCTTTACCGTCAACAACACGACCTTTTTCCGTTTTCTTATGAGACGGAAACGATTCTTCCCCCCCAAACAACAGAAAATCAGAGCTCGTAATGGACTTTTCCTCTCCTCGCTGCCGCTCGCCGCTCTCACTCTCCCGCACCCGCACCCGCAACCGTAGATGGCGTCAGAGTCGGACTGGCACCGCCGTCGTTGTGGTGGCTGCACTCGTGATTTCCACCGCAGCCTGGCTGTCTCTTGTATTTTCTGGCACTACTGCTCGGTGTTGGCATAGGTTTAAGAATTGGGAAGGCAGTCCTCATGCTCTCAAATGGAAGCCACGAAGTCAGAAGCCAAATCAAAAAGGGAAAGATGACGGAATTTCGAGTTTCTCCACCGCCCCGTCTCTTCAATTGGGCAGAAACAGGAGCCTGTCCGAGGCGGAGAGACGGAAGGTTGAAGCAGGATTGACGTTGAATCATATAGTTTTCGGCATTGCGGGATCCTCTCAGTTGTGGAAGAGAAGGAGAGAGTTTATAAGGCTTTGGTGGAGAAAGAATTCAATGAGGGGTCATGTTTGGTTAGAGGAGAAGGTGGATGATAAAGAATGGGATGAATCATTGCCTGTGATTATGATTTCGGAGGATACTTCTCGGTTTCGGTACACGAACCCGACCGGACATCCTTCTGGGCTTCGGATTGGGCGCATTGTGTTGGAGACTTTTCGACTAGGTTTGTCTGATGTTAGGTGGTTTGTTTTAGGCGATGATGATACTATTTTTAATGTGGATAATTTGGTTAATGTGTTAAGTAAGTATGATTATAATGAAATGGTTTATGTTGGTGGCTCTTCGGAGAGTCACTCTGCGAATACTTATTTTAGTCATAATATGGCTTATGGAGGTGGGGGGATTGCTATAAGTTATCCTCTCGCCGAGGCGCTTTATAGTGTTCTTGATGATTGTCTTGAGAGATATCATAAGTTATATGGAAGTGATGATAGGCTCCACGCTTGTATTTCGGAGCTCGGTGTTCCATTGTCAAGAGAGCTTGGGTTTCACCAGGTTTGTTTATCCAGTCAGCTGTTAATTATTTTCTAATTGTTTAGACAACTTGCATTTTGTTAGTAATTATGACCTGTGCTGCTGAGAAGTTTGTGATTTTTTTATCGAAGTCAACTTGATGAATTAAATGTTGACCAAAAAATTTAGACGGTTGTCTTGACTTGTTGAATTTGAATTGTGGTTGATTTTGTTGTGGCAGTGGGATATTAGGGGTAGTGCTCATGGTCTGCTATCTGCGCATCCGGTTGCACCCTTTTTATCGATTCATCATGTTGAAGCTGTGGATCCTTTTTACCCTGGGTTGAGTTCTCTGGATAATTTGAAGCTATTCACAAAGGCAATGAAGGTTGACCCTATGAGTTTCTTGCAGCGATCGATCTGTTATGACCGTGCACGCCACCTATCCTTTTCCGTCTCGCTTGGTTACACTATTCAAGTGTTCCCGAGCATTGTTCCTCCCCGGCTGCTTGAGCGCTCAGAAATGACTTACTCTGCTTGGAACAAGATTCGTAATCGGAATGAGTTTGATTTGGATACAAGGGATCCTTCCAAATCTGTTTGTAAGAGGCCGGTCCTCTTCTTCTTAGAAGACGTGAAAAGACAAGGCAACACTACTTTGGGTACATACGTGCAGGCAAGAATGAAAGATGATTTGAGAAGAAGTTTTTTCTGCTTTACTCGTTCTGCTCCTTTGCCTTACGTTGAGAGTATTCAGGTGTTGGGGTATCCTCTGAAGAAGAACTGGCATTTGGTGAGTTCCTTATTTGTATTCTTTTTACTGTCTACTCCCAGTCCACTGTAATTTTCAGACTTTCCTTTCAAGCTAAAAGCTGACATTTCAAATATATATTTCGACAGTCACCGCGTCGTCTGTGTTGCAAACTGAATCAAACAAGTGATGAACTCCTTACAATATCAGTTGGACAGTGTGAGAAAGGATCTTGTGGTTCTTTTGCTGATTCTGTGTGAATATGGGTTGAATGGGAGCACTTGGTACGCTAGTAATGCTGTGGATATATTTTTTGCTTGAAGAAGGCCCTTCTCCAACTTGTGCTCTATATATTCAGCATCATTGTTTTGGCTTCCTTCTTGCAACAGCAGTTTACTGACTGTAATCTGGCATTTTGAAAGCCATGCTAACAAATTGCAGATACGATAGTTCCTTTTTGTACACAGTTGAGTTTAAGATGAGATTGCAAACCTTCACTTCGTGGACTGCATTCTTTGCCTTCTTTTTTCTTCAGAAGGTAAATAATTTCAAGTCTATATCTAACTTATAGACATTGCTAATGATGCGAGAGACAGTTTTAGTTAGTTTACAAATGAAAATGCCGTGATTCATTTCTTCTATTTTTAAGCGTGTGTTTTATGTCAATTCTAGTAATATTTTCTCTTGCACCTTCAACTTTCTCTGGAACTCTATTGTTTGAGCAATTAGACCTTCATTGTGCCACTCACTCATCCTAGTGGATGTTCGGTTAAAGATCATCCCAATTATTTGGTGTTAGTTTGATATGTCCTTTTCACTTGATAGGGAAAGCCCTTGTTAGGATTTTCATGTGGGTGTGTGTTGGGGAGAGAGAGCATTTGTTTGAGATTCTGTTATAAACTAGAATGCCTTTGTCTATCTTACAATACGGTTCTGCTTTGCTGTTGATAGGTGGGATCCAAGTGCAACTTGTTGAGCACATCATCTTACGTTCTCATATCTCATTTGTGTTCTTTCAGTGCTCATTAGTGCATATTTTCTGTATTTATTCCACCTGTATCATACTAGCTATGATCTAGTTCTATGGATATATTACATTTGACTTCCCAGTTTCTGATACTAGAAAGTTTGAAAGATTTGTTTATGTACTCCATGAGTCTTACCTCAACTCCATGCAACTTATGAGGCCGTCATAATATGGATTCATAGGCATGCATCATAGCACAACTCAACTTACATCTTGTCTCCAATTTGTGTACCTTCACTGCTTTAACAGAAAGGCTTCATTTCAGACCGATGGTTATTTTTCATTTCAGTAACAAAACTGGCATTAACAGGCATGCATGCCCATGAGACATCCATGCACTTATTAAAGGGAATGAAAGAAGGACAAAACCAACCGTGCTATCAGAATCTAGATAGCATGGAAGAAGCTTAAGTGTGGGAGGTCTGCCAACCAGATTTCAGGTCATTGACACATATTCTAGCTATAGATGCATTCCTTGGGAACAATATGCCCAACAAATAGGAAAGTACCCAGAAAGACCAGAGAAAGTGTCAAAATTATAAGGGACCCTTAGAAAAAGAAAAAAATGTGTCGAAAGGCATGTTGTAGTGTCAGATAAGGCTTCGGGGAGTCATGCCAGCAATTCAATGCTGTTGAATTGAGTTGTGTTTAAGTTTGCATTTTAATAAAATGTTTCTCTTCGCCCTCCGGTGCAGTTTTTTTCTCCTGTTGTGGACCTACAATGACTTGGAGTTCATTGGTTTGTTATCAACTCTTGTTATGCTCACAAGAACTAGATCATTCAATTAGTTCACCATGTCTGTTTGATAGCAACTTCTCTATAAGTTCTTAGTCCAAATTCTAGATTGGCAAGGACCTTCTTAGTCCAATTACAACATTATGAAGTTCGTTATTCTAAATTCTCGCACACTCCAAATTTGTATTGTGCTTTCTTTGGTACCCTTGGAACTTGGAAGGTTAGGGTTGCAGATTTTGTGAGTGTGATAGAAGAACATTTTGGTGATTTTGTCAACAGCATTTTGTGATTTTAGTTGGTGATCATGTCCTGTACTGTTTTTAAAGCCTTCTTTGTCTGGTGATGACCGTGTCTCATTCTCTTAGTCATGAATCCTTGTTCTTTAATAATCGATGAGTTGCTAGTTAAAATGTACATTTTTAAGGAAATATGTTTTGACTAGCATTAATGAGTCTCTCCAACCTATCTTCATTGTAACGAATGGGATAAATGGGCATCTATTAGATTTGATTGTTTGAGCAAGAATCTAGGAGGGCATCAAAACAGACACAGTTCATGGGTCGATGCAAAAATGAACAGCCAATGTCTTGTTTTGATTCGTTCTTTATGTGACCTGTCACTGTTAATTAAACTATCATCTTAATGAAGCCTTTTTTCTCTTCCCATTGAGGGTGTCGATGTAGTTTTCTTACTTCTATAATAAAGTCTCTAGATGGTTTAACTTAGACTAATCTCTCAGTGAAGGGCTGTTTGTATACACAGCTGGTAGTTGATTTGATCATTTGCCTTTCCAGTCATATTCTTCTTCAGAGGAATAGGCAACTAAGGCGAGATTCTTTGTGTAGCTGTGTTTCAAGAGGCCTTTACAGTCATATTCTTTCTTTTCTGAACTAGATTTTCCATCTTTTCTTCCACGCAGCCCAGCATAATGGTTTTCACTTGAGAGTTGTCGTAATTCTGGTTCATTGGTTAACGCACAGCTTAAGTTTTTCTTTCTTTCTTGCAGCTCACTCCATGTTAATATGCCTGTCTTGAAACGGGAACTGCACATAAATCATAGCATATTGTCAGACATCTGCAACGATTTTTAATAGCTTTACATTTTAGTGCTTTAATCTTTGTGCATAGACTGATATGGTCTCCTTACTATGGTATTACTTAAAGATTGCATAAATCAGAGGTGGAATTTGGAGCTGAGAACCTCTCAAAAAGTGCGAGGTCAGCTGCATTTGAAGCTGGAAGTTGAGAATGAACTAGTGGATACACTGTACATCCATTGCATTCGTGAGTAAAGCCAAGGGTTCATAGTGACTTTTGAAGGGCCAGATGCAGTTTGATGTCACGGTAAAGCATTAAGTGCCAGAAGTGCAACTTGTTCATTCTGGTGGGTGCAAGTCATTTTAGTTCTAGAGGGAACTGCGGCCTCAATAAAGTGGACAATTAAGGAGGCTTTAAGAGTCGTTAATAAATCACTTCAATTGACAGTGACCTCCTTTTAACTTCATGGGATTTGGCTTAGGACACACATGTATCCTTATTTTTTTTAATCTTCATCCTATAATTTCTCCCACACTTCTGCAAATTCATGAGCATGGTTTCCATTTGTTCTCTTTCCCCCCTTCTAATCATGTGTTTTGAGTTAATTAAGGTTGATTTCTTTTTGTTTTTTGTCATAAGGGAACTCAACAGTATAGATTTGAGATTTCTATTCGGAGATCCCATAAGGACCAATGTAGCCCGAGATCGGTCAGGTTGATTTCCTAGGGATATGGAGTGTTGGGTGAAAGGAATGGTGGTAGTTACATCCTTGGGAAGCGTTTATACTTGTCAGAACAGATCAGTTGGAATTTAACCTGAACACATGCTACTGAGTTTATTGATAGATACCGGAAAAAAGAAGAGGTGGGCAGGGTCATGTGGCGGATGCCAAATTTGGATTTCAGGTGGGACTAATATGTTTGTTTGCGCAGCTCTTGAAAAGCATGAAATTCATGTTTTCTGTAAGGTGCGCCGCGCGGCACACCTCATAAACAAAGACATTTATTGCAGCCAATCACACGGTTGCTAACTTTAACAACAAGGCGGTGAGGGCTAAACCCTAATCTCAAAACATTGAATTAGGATTCTGCTCATAACATAATAATGTTCATTCGTGGTGCATTTTGGACTCCAAATGCATGGAATATGTGCTGTGTTTTGCAAAATTATGGAGATGACAAACTATTTGTGTAGCAGGCTCCATCTTGTGTCAAATCTATTTGCAGTTTTTGTCTGTGTGTTGGCTCTAATGTTGTTTGCTCACATGTGGTCGGAGAGCGCGTTTCGCTGGCTTGTTTGGTGTTTGAGTGTGTGTATTGTGTTGTGAGATTAAACTAGAGTAAAATACATTCATGACGTCAATTAAATTTGAAGTCACCATTTAATTTAAAGTTTTTGTTCAAAGCAAATAGAATTGTAAATAATTCAGTTAAGATCCATGCAAGCTAGGAGCTAATTAAAATAAAATAATTAAGGTTAGTCAATTTTAACATATTTAAGGTTATTAACTACGTAATTAAACATTAGTTAACTGATATTTATAAAACTAACAAGACTGATGTTAGTTAATCTTAATATATTTAATGTTATTTTGTTTTTTAAGATAAAATAACAAGTCTTCCATCTCATTAAATGTTGTTTCTTATGCTTTTTAAAGTGAAAGTTAAACATATATTTAATATGCTTGTATAAAACTTGCATTTCACTCTCTAAAAATTCAACAACTAATTTTCAAAACCATAAGAAATCCTTTATATATATATGTTTTGCTTTAAAGCAAAGTATTGAAGATATATGTAGACGCACACCCTTAAAAAGGTAATTTTTTTATTAACATTTTCAAGTGGGTTATGGATAAATTATGATTTCCATAAATTATAGAAATTGCATGCATGGAAATTCAATTTTATTATTTAAAAATTACTATAAATTACAACAATAAAATAGAAGCCTTTGGGCCAGTAACTAATCCTATCTCAAACGTAGGGCACCTTCATGTGAAAATAATTTGGAGGAATTAATCACCTAAATAAAGATTAATCAATTTATGAGGTTTATAAATTTTAAAATACGCCAATTAATTAATTAAGAAAGTAATGGATGGTGAGCTGGAGTGGATTAAGCCCTTAATAGTCGATAAATACAAGAATTGTTACAGTAGTGATTGTATATGTATATAAAAGGCGATGTGCATGCATCTGGTAGTAATTGCATTATTTTTATTTTGGTGTTTTACAGCTTTTGTCCTTGTTCTTTCGATGATTTGATTGTAAATTAGAGGACGTAACCCTTCCTTGTTCTTGTTAGACTCCTCGTCAAATGAAGTTCTTGAAGAGATATCTCCTCCTTTTATTTATTTATTTTTTGTAAGTTGAGGCCACAATTAAGAAGTTCTCTCATCCCTTTTTTTTTTAATATTCAAAAGAAACTCAAAATTTTTTTGATTTGATTCTAAACCTTATCTTCATCAAAACTTTCAGCTTAATAAGTTAATTCGATGAATTATTAATTCTAAAATCTAATTTATACTAGATTTAATATCAATATAGTTTGAGAATTGACTTAGTCAGGTCTTATTGATTGATTAATTTAATTTGAAATCTAATTTATACTAGATTTAATATCAAAATAGTTCGAGAATTGACTTAGTCAGGTTTTATTGATTAATTAATTTAATTTAATATTTTTTAAATAAAATAAATAAATCTAGTTAACCAGATTATGATCGGTTCAAACAACGTTATCTTAGCCTTGTTTTTTCTTAAAAAAAAAAAAGTCTTGAAATGAAGATTATGATCGGTTCAAACAACGTTATCTCAGCCTTGTTTTTTCTTAAAAAATAAAAAAAAAAAGTCTTGAAATGTACTTTGTTTTGAATTGACTCATCTAACCCGAGTTTTAATTATAACTAGCAAGAAACTTGAGAAGAGGAGGAGGAGGGGGAGGGGGAGGTGGATGAAAATAATAAGAGAAGCAAGGGGCATGTGCGCACCCATTAGGGCAATTAACATGATGGGGAGGGAGAGACTGGTGTGGGTGGCAGTTGGGAAGGTTTCACAAAACCAGGAGAAACGCCACGCACGTTCTTACACCTCACAAAAATGGGGCCCTTCTGACAGCTGTTCCAATCTGTTCTTGTCTCTCCCTCCCTTCCTTTTCCTTATTTCATCCAAGATTTATTTATTTGACATCTTCTTCATCCGTTGAAGATTTGATTAATTATGATAGACTTTGATTCCTTCCTATAGTAATTAATGCTCTAATTATATATTTTTTTAAAAAATAATAGTGTGATTAAATGTTCTGTTTATTATTTTATTGAACAGTCCATTAATCACTTTTCATTTCATGTTTATTAATTAGTGATGTGCATAATTACCAATTAATCTCTTAATTAGCCTAGTTGGTTGAATGCTGCTCCACAACATCTTTGTTTATAGGATCAAGGTCAAGGATTCAAATCACTGCTGGGATTAATTAGTGTATTAACTATCTTTTTTTTTTTTCTGAGTTTGTAGTTAGATGTAATTAAATTAAGAAAACTAAATCATTCAAAATGAACTCGAGGTGGATTCGTCTTTAATCTTAATTACTGACCAAACAAATCAAACTTGATTGTCTTCATGAATTGATTTGAGTAATTAAAGATTTCTCTTGAAATACATACCCTATTTTTAATAAACATTCTATGTATTTGATATATCAAACTAATTGCGTGTTTGATATACTGTGTTTACAATTAAGTTTTGAGTATGTTTTAAAAATATATTTGTCTTGAAAAATTTATCAAATTGATGTTTTTAGTATATTTTTATGATTTTAATATTCTAATATTAAAAATAAAAATAAAATATTTTTTAAAAGTATTTTGTAACACACTGCTAAACAATCACCGAGAGTCTGCTTGTGTTTTACTTTAAAAATATTTAAAAAAATTAAAAATTTTTAATTTTAAAATTTAAATTATTTTTTTAATGGTATTTAAAAAAATTAATTTTTTTTAATTTTAAAATTTAAATTAATTTTTTAATGTTTTTATATTGTTTTAATGTATTAATATTAAAAATTATTTTAATATATTTTTAAATAAAAAATACGTTACACTGCATTCACACACACGCACTAGACTAAGTTGAATACGCAAGCAATTTTTATGGTACAAAGGACATAAGATGCCCTGAAACTATTGATTGATATTTATTACAATGGAGGCTTCCGAGTGGAGTCCACAAATGATGGGGGGAGTAATGCTTAACATGTTGTATAAGCTCTTTTAAAACACTAATTTAGACAGCCTAATGTAATGTGGGTATGATTAGGGATTTAATGAAACAGTTTGGAAGAGTATACTTAGGGATCAAAAAGGTTGAAAATGATAATAAAAAAAAAGGAAGAAGCATGGACACCATTGATGTGCTGTCGTGAAATGTGTACGTGAATGTCATGGTCCTGCAAAAATGTGGTAATGATGGGTGCTACAGCGGAGCATTTAACCACACCCATTAACCCACGGACCCAATCACATGGAACTTATTAAAATGGGTCACATGGGACCGCCCCTTCAAAACTTTTCCTCTCTCCCTTTTCCTTTGCATTTGTTTTTGCCGTCTGACCATGTTTTTTTAAAAAACATTAAGTTTTTTTTTAGTATTTATTTATTATCTTGGTAGGTTCATGTCGTAGATAAATTTTAAAAAATAAAAATTATTATTTTAATATATTTTTAAATAAAAAAATACTTTAAAAATTAATTTACATTGCAACTCCAAACACTATAAAACCATCTTTAATGTGCTATCTCCGATCATCTCTCATGCTTCATATCATTTCACTACAAGAAAAGAAAAATAAATTAATTAATTAATTAACATGGAGTTGTGTTCTTGAAATTGTTTGAGATGATTGATATTCATAGATTTTAAAAGAATATAGTTTGAATTGTTAATATTAAATTCAAAATTTATTTAAATAGACTGTTCATAGATGCACCAAAAAAATCATGTTGTTAATTTTTTATGCGATGAATAAGCGTTTTAGATGGATGAAAATTGTTTTTTTTTTAGTGTACATGATGAATAAGCGTTTTAGATGGATGAAAATTATTTTATTTCGAGTGTATATATTAACCAAGGAATGATTTAATTTTTTTAAAAAAAATTACTTTAACTATCAAGTCATAGAAAGGAAAGTCTCTTGTAATTAATAGTATTAACCTTAATAATTAACATCTTAAATAGCATCAAGAAATTAGATATTCATAGAGACACAACCAGTAGATTTGTCAACATAAAATATAATTATAATGGCGAATATACCAATAATGCGTGATTTCTTTTATATATATAATTATATATAGTTCTCAAGCTGGGAGGAAGAACACACAATTATTCTCAAATAATTACTGATTAGATGCATGCTACAGACACGTGTACACACACACACACACTCAACATCGAAACGATGTAGTATCTCATAATGATTGATCTGGTGCGCATAATATCCTAGCAATTATTTTTCATTTTGTAGTTATTACAAAACAAGAACAAACGGCTATTTAACATAGAACTAATGAACAGCCGTTTTAGCCTGAACTGGTTGGGTTAATATCGAACCATGGTTAAGTGGGAGCGCACATATTCTGATTCTTGCGGTATGGTTCCATCGTTGTCCAGCTCAAATCTTGCGAAGAAAAAACATTAAAAATGGAAAAGAAATGATAAATTGAATCGAAAAAAAAGGGAAAATCAAAAGAATATATATATATGGTATGGCTCTCTGTAGGGTAAGGAGAATCTAGTGTTGCCAATTTCAATAAAGTTAAAGCAAAAGTCCCAATCGAACATGGCCATGTCAATGGCAGTGGAAAATGGTGGGTTAGATGCTGAATATCATTGGAGACGAAGACGAAGACGGATTGCAGAGAATTTTAATTTCAGGGATGAGGTGATGTGTGTTTGTGGGCGTACTTGTGGGTGACTGATTGTGTGCTGCTGATCCCTTTGAGCTTTCCTTTTCATCTTCCTCCCCCACTTGACAGCCATTGCTCTCTCTCTTCTGCAACTTCTTCCATTTAGTTATGCTATTCAAATTAATTTTATCTTTTTGATGTATACTCCTCCTTCCTTTTTGTTTTTATGGTGATGGGTATTCTTTGATTTACCATAGATTATCAAATTCATTATAAGTCGATTCTAATAACTCGTGATTTTAAAATATATATCAAGTATTTAAGTTAGTATTTTTTAATTAAAATGATATCATTTTAAATTTTGTTAAAATAATTAAAATAATATTATTTTAAAAATTAAAAAAATACTCATAATAATCTAGTGTGATCAACCATAGTATTTTGGAGTGGTTTTACTACCATTTTGGATTTTGTGATTATGCACTTTAAACAATTTAATCTTGCAATCTTACATCAAGTTAATGTTTTTTTCTCTTAAAATATTGTTGTTAAAATAATTTATTTTAATCTTAATTTATTTTCCATTATATTGGCATGGAAAATGTTTTTAAAGTTTTCTTCAGAATTTATGGGGAAAAAAATATTTGTCAGCAAACCTGAAAAACAAGTACATAATTAATTAGATTTTAATCAAAATGAACCCTACAGAAATAACTCCATCATAGCAAAAAAAAATAATAATTAAAATTAGAAAATACACACGTAGAGTCTTCTCACAATTGGAATAAATCTATATGCATTAAAGATAAGGAAAATACACACGTAGAGTCTTCTCACAATCGGAATAAATCTATATACATTAAAAATAAAAAATAAAAATCACCCTATAAAAATCCATTAAACTCATTGACTCATTTCATCATTAAGTAGTATGATATATATTGAATAAAAAATAAAATGTTGCTAATAAAAAAATCAAATCCCATCACCCAAAAAAAAGTTATAAAAATAGAAAATATGCTGATTACCCTGTAGAAAATAATAAAATATCAGATACATTTCAAGAAAAATAAGTGAGGAATTACCCGTAGAGATGCATTAATCTTGGTGATTAATTCCAAATTTATAAATTTTTATTATTAAATTGAACAAATAGAAATAATGACGGTAATAAAAAGAGGTCATAAACAATTATTAGCGGCAAAGGGAGAGAGAACTGACAACACAGCATCTCATTTGTTTTATCATTTCACACAACTCTCTCTCTCTCTTAATCATCAACATCCTCATAATTTGTCATCTCCATTCATTTCTCTTTCTCTCTCTAGCTAGCCTCATCTTTTGGCAGAGTGTAGTGCAGCTGATGATGATGATGATGATGATGCCCTTCTTCTAATTTTTCTTTTTATTCCTGGTTTTATTGAATTAGAAGCAAGAAAAAAGGGTTTAAAAAATAATAAATCAAATCTGAGGAAGAGGGCAGCAGCAGCTAGCACTGACTCATAGGAATTCTTTCTTTCTTGGCTTTTATTTTATCTTTTCCAGTTGTCTACTCTCTCCCTCCTTCTCTCTCTCTCCCCTTTTCTTTTCTTTTCTTTTTAAACATCACCAAAACTTCCCTTACCCTCTCTCTCTCTCTTTGTTGCTCTCCCAATTCTCTTATTATCTCTTGAATTCTTCTCATTTACCCTTAATCCTCTAGAGAGGGAGGGGACAAAGGGATCGAGAAATCATTTACGGACTGAATTATCATCATAGATGAAGAGAGATCCTCAACTTCGAGAATCGTAAATTTAATATCAAGGAAAAGTGAGTGGGGGGAGAGAGAGAGAGAGTCAAGTTCAGAGATGCAACAAGGAGGTGGAGAAAGAGGGTCGTCACAGTCACAATATGGAGTGCCACACCAACAACAACAACAACAAGAACAAGGTGATGTACCTATAACAACTCCTTCATCTGCTGCACTAGCAACCCACATGCAGCAGCAAGTAGTAGAAGAAGCATCGCCCATTAGCAGCAGACCTCCTGCCACAGCTGCCACAACAAGTGGGGTTATGAATTTAGATGAATTCATGAGACTTTCAGGGAGTGGTGGTGCAGAAGAAGATATTGTTGCTGGAGAAGATGCAGATCGAACAGGAGGTATTTCTAGTGGCAATAGGTGGCCAAGGCAAGAAACTCATGCCCTTTTGCAAATTAGGTCTGAAATGGATGCTGCTTTTCGTGATGCCACCTTAAAAGGTCCTCTATGGGAGGATGTTTCAAGGTAGACAAATATCGACAACATTAACCCTTTTCTCCGTTTTTTTTTTTTTTTACTATAATTCTCTTCAGATCTCCATTTCTCTGTAAACACAAGCACATGGCTTCTATCTCTTTCCATCACGACTCACGAGCAACCTAGATTGGCATCTCTTTTTTAAAAAAAAAACTTTTTTTTTTTTAAAAAAAAAAATTCTAATAAATAATTCTAATAATAAATTGGATGAAATATACCCAATTGGGGTGTAAGCATAACTACCTTCACTTTTTTTTTTTTTTTCTTTTTTTTGCTATTTTCAATGGAAGAAAAATTGAAAATCCCAAGAGGGATATCAACAAGATCGATTCTTTTTTATTTTTTGTAATTTTTCATTTTTCATTTTTACTATTAAATCAAGCAACTCTCTTTCCTTTGTTTTTGTTTTTTTTTCTCTCTCTACACTTATTAAATGGATTAGATAGTTGGTATGGGAAGTGGAGAAGAAGCCAGTGGGCCTAAAGGTATGAAAGTGAGTGAGAGAGAGCATCATCTTCTTCTTTATTAAATTTAAATCAAGGTATGATTTTTTTCATTAAAAAAAGATGTATTTTTTGTCATTGGATCATTAGAAATCTTTGATTTTTATTTTTTGTTTTTTATCATTGGAAAGTATACTACTTGTGGTAATAAACTATGAAAGCATGATGTAACAGGAAGCTAGCAGAGATGGGATACAAGAGAAATGCCAAGAAATGTAAAGAAAAGTTTGAGAACGTGCACAAGTATTATAAAAGAACAAAGGAAGGTAGAGCCGGTCGTCAAGATGGCAAAAGCTACAGGTTTTTTAGCCAGCTTGAAGCTTTGCATAATACTACTGGTAGTGGCGGTGCTTCTGCTAGTATCATCAACGTGTCTGGTGCTGCTTCTAAGCAGATTTTCACTACAACAACAAGCAGTCTGGATGTTGCTCCTGTTTCTGTTGGAATTCCTATGCCTCCTTCGTCTTCTGTTAGAATTCCTCCACCTTCTTCTCGGGTACTTCAACCAGCTTCAAATATTGGCTCAATGTTCCCTCCTGATTTGGGGGCAACAGTGGCCGCAGCTGCTGCAGGTGCTGGCCCTGTTGGAATCAGCTTCTCGTCGAATGAGTCTTCTTCTTCTCCAAGTTCTGAAGACGACGATGACGACGAAGATGAAGAGCTATTAGGAGGGCAACCATCAGCTACGGCTGCTGGTACGAGTCGAAAACGTAAAAGGGCATCATTATCGTCAGCTAAAGGAGAAACTCATCGGATGATGGAGTTTTTTGAGGGGCTAATGAAACAGCTCATGCAGAAGCAAGAGGCGATGCAACAGAGATTTTTGGAGGCGATTGAGAAGAGGGAGCAAGATAGGATGATAAGAGATGAAGCTCGGAGAAGGCAAGAGATGGCTAGATTGAGTCGTGAAGATGAGATTATGGCTGAAGAACGGGCTATTTCTGCTAGTCGAGATGCTGCTATTGTTGCCTTGCTACAGAAAATTACAGGCCAAACTATTCATTTGCCTACGCCTGTATCAATGGCCCCTCCATTTTCACTACCTCCACCACCACCACCACCAGCAGAACCGCAACCGGTTCAAGTAACGCCATTGTTCACTGTCTCAACCCAACCACCACCATCACAACTTAAACACATGCCACAGTCACATGTAACACCACAACAAAATATACAACATCCACAACCACTTCCCCAACAGCAGCACCACCACCACCAACAAGGGCATCGTCAACACCAACTACCCATTTCTTCAGACATAGTGATGGCAGTCCCGGAACAACAAATAATACCACAGGAAATTGGAAGTGGTGGCGGTAGTGGGAGCGAGCCAGCGTCATCAAGATGGCCAAAGCCAGAAGTTCTTGCACTTATAAAGTTGAGAAGCGGGCTTGAAACCAAATACCAAGAAGCTGGGCCTAAGGGGCCACTTTGGGAAGAAATATCAACAGGAATGCAAAGGATGGGCTATAAAAGAAGTGCCAAAAGATGCAAAGAAAAATGGGAGAATATCAACAAGTACTTCAAGAAAGTAAAAGAAAGTAACAAAAATCGCCCAGAAGATGCCAAGACTTGCCCTTATTTTCATGAGCTTGATGCCCTTTATAGGAAAAAGATTCTTGGTGGAAGTGGTGGTGGTGGTGGAAGCACCTCTACTAGTGGCTTTGACAGCCAAAGTAGGCCACAAGAACGGCAGCAGCAGCAGCAGCAAGAGAGCTTACAATTGGACCCGATGCCACATCCAATGCAGCAGCCACCGCAACAGACAGAAGCCACAGAATCACAAAATAAAAATGGGGCTGGTGGTGATGTTCAAGTAAGCAATATAGGTTTGCCTGGGAATCTCGGAGAAGGAAATGGAGGAGCAGCAAAGAAGGTAAACCTTAGTTTTGTTCAAAAAAGAAAAAGAAAATTGTAACGTTACGAAGTAATCGATGTTCAGTTATTTGATGCCTATTGATCCTTTCTTTGATATTGAAGCCAGAAGACATCGTGAAGGAGTTGAAGAAGCAGCAGGGGACTCAACAACAACAACAGCAACAGCAACAGCAACAACAGTTAATGGTTGATGGCTATGATAAGATGGAGGGAGGTGACAGTGAAAACGTAAATGAAGATGAATATGACGACGAAGACGAGGGCGACGACGATGATGAAGAGGAGGAGGAGGAGGGGTTACAAGAGGAGAGGAAAATGGCATACAAGATAGAGTTCCAAAGGCAGAACACAAGTAGTGCCGCCAATGGAGGAGGGACTGGGGCACCCTCCTTTTTGGCCATGGTTCAATAGTACCATTGTCAATATCCTCGTATCCCCAAAATGTACCATATGTACCTATGTGTGCAGAAGCTCAAATCAAACAAAAGATAGCTAACAAAACTATTTGAGTTCAAAGCCTGACAACCTTAAAACTTCTTCCCTTTAATTCCATTTCCTTTCACCCCCATAAATTCTTTTATCATCCTGTATCTTATCTGTCCCTTTCCTTTCCTTTTCCTCTTCCTTTTCCTTCTCCTTTTCCACCCTAATAGCTTTGTTAAGATGAGATGTCATTTTGCATGGCAATCATCACCACTATTTGTACCACTTTTTCTTTCAATTTATTGATTTGTTGATTGTTGAATAAAGCACCTGTTTGTTCAAGACAAAACAGGAGGATTGATTAAGGAAGACCAAAATAAGCTTTGGCCTAGCCTAGCTTACTATCTAGGACCAACACCATAGTCATTTAGTCATGTCAACATCATCAAAGAGAGCAGACTTGTGACAGCAGCAGCAGCAGCAGCAGCAGCAGCCCAGAGAAGAAGATATGGGACGAGAGAAAGGACTTGTACAAGTTAATTAGAGCATGCATGCTGATAATTGTGATCACATATACAATCCTTAGGAGAAGCTAGCAGATCATGTTAATTAATTAATGCCTTTTATTTATAAGCAATATTGCATTCTTTCTCTTGCTTAGCTTGAGTTTAATGAAGATTCTTGGATGGTTTTCCAGGATTTCATCTTTATCGATAATGTAATCAAACTTTATTTTATTTTTAATTCTTTAACTTCAGCGCATTAGAGTGATTGGTTACAATAATCACGTACCCCCTTCTTTCTTATGTTAAAGTTGATTCATAATTAATGACAGATTTGTAAAAAAGATAAATTATTTTTGTTACTAACCCTAACTATTCTCAAGGAGTTAATTCATTTAGTAGTGAGTTGGACAAAGCACTTATACGATCGAATTCCATTACAGCATAAGTAAAGCCAAATTTCATTTTAATTTCATTCAGCACTTTATGTTTCAGGATGAACATATACAATCTTCATTATATTTCTCATGCTAACTTAAGAACTTGACACACACACACACACACATGAAAACTAGTGAAGGACACCATAATCATTAAAACAAAAAAGAATTATAGTATTCAACTTCAAAATGAAAGGGGGAAAAAAAAAATATCAAGAGCCAATTATAGTATTCAACTTCAAAATGAAAGGGGAAAAAAAAAAGAAATATCAAGAGCCAGGCAGCAATATTATAATGAGGGACATGGTATGGATTTTTGACAAGTAGCAACAGCAACAAATGTGGGTAGCCATGTAGAAATTGCTTTCCTATAATTCTCCACTTACCACACATTCATCTTTTGCCAACTAGCAACAAATAAAATGGGTTTCTATATTCCTTTCTTCCCTCTATTGTAATCCACTTACCTCATGAAATCTTACATCAAAGCATGGCATGTTCTCCCCACCCATGTGCTTTGCTATTTTTCCCTCCCATGATCACCAAATTCCACCCCACTTGCTCCTTTCCTTTATAATTCTTTCTTTCTTTTAATAACATATTTATGCTCTTTTTCCCTCATCAATTGCTCTCTTTATAAGTATTGATATATAAATTGTTAGAAAGTAATACAAAATTATTCTTAAAATCTCACCGGATAGTTTAAGCTTATAGTTGAAGAATTTTTTTTTTTAATATAATAGCATAATCTTATTGATTAAGTGATCACGATTTCAAATATTATTACCCCATTATGATTAATAAATAATTAAACATAAAATGTATTGTGGGTATATGTAAATATCAAGTCTAAATAACTTTCAATTGAAAAAATATATCAGACCCATTATGATTAATAAATAATTAAACATATAATGTATAAATAACTTTCAATTGAAAGAATGTATCAGGTAATAATATAAAATTATTTTTGAAAACTCACAAAATGACATAACAACTTAAATTATTTCATTTAATTGGTTCTTTAAAATAAACTTTGTCAATTATGATATTATAAAATTATTTTTGAAAACTCACAAAATAACATAACAACTTACATTACTTCATTTAATTGGTTATTTAAAATAAACTTTGTCAAATATATATATGAGTAATTATTGACACCATTGAAAACTATTTAAAACTTGAATCTATTAGTGAAGTTAAATGTCTAGGACTATTTTTTTTAGATAATATTTGATTATTATTTTAAAAAACAATGAAAACCAAGGAGATATGTTATCTTATATCTCCTTCTTTTTTTTGTTAATTAGTTCAGATACAAAGAGAGGTTGACTCCATATATATATATTCCCTGTATAGAATATTGTGAATAACTAAAATAATTATATAAAAAAATATAAAGACACCAGAAATTGAAGCATCATGCTCACAATACAGTATGCATGTATTAATATAGTATTCTGTGATTAGTTTAGTGTTTGCAGATGTAAGCTGAAAGTAATAATACACCAATCAACTTTTTATATACATAGGTTCTGCACATGGGGAAGAGTAGCTAGCTAGCCTGGTTGGTGCTGCTGGCACTATGAAGGATTTATGCATACATAGTTAATGCACAGCCCAGCCTGGACTTTACTTTAAAATATATATAGGCATGATCAAACATTTTATTATTTTAGGGCGATGGGAGATTGATGAAATAAAAGATTAATGGAGAGAACATGCATTAACCTTGCCCCTCTCCCCCCTCACTGATCTACTCTCCCCTACTTTGGTTTCCTTGGAGTAGAGAACCACTTTTCTGATGTAATGATGTTTTCTAAATTCTTTTATATTTATCAAGACATTAAAACCATGGATAGACTTCTAGAAAATATCAATTTGATTTATTTTATACAAGAAATATTTTAAAAAATACGTTAAATAAGCACAAGCAGAAAAACAAACATTGCCTTACTTTATTTTTAGAATAAATTAAAGGGCTTCCTTAAGACTCAAGTTATTTATAATAAGAGGGATCACATACAGAGTACTTTTCAGTGCTCATAATGGAGTTGTATAGACATGAGAGGAACAAATAATGAGGGGCTGCAGGTGCCAGGACCCTCCATCGAAGGACCACCCGTAAAGCTGCTGTTGATTTTTCACCGTTTCCACTGTCGTCAGGTCTATCACTGTTGAGAGAATCAGTTCATTAATTGCTTATAATGAATGGAAATGGAAGCTGGCAGGCGTCGAACCACATGCACTGGCGTCCACTGCAATTGCTCTTTGCATTTTTAATATTGTCCCTTCAAAAATGAATTGAATCCATTAAGATATCTTCTGTAAATATTCATCTCAGTTTGCACCTTTTATTTCACTCTTTCTAGCTATAAGATTTTACAGGCTTGAGAGGTTAATTCAGTAATATTACTTTCTTATAGTATGATTTAAGTTGGGTTAAATTAATACAAAAAAATATCCATATTTCTTATAGTATGATTTAAGTTGGGTTAAATTAATACAAAAAAACATCCAAACTGGATTATCTTGAATTAACTCCGTTCATCTATGATATGAACATTGATCTAGGATCAAATTAGATAAAATATTACCACTATAATTTTAAAACACCTATAATAAAAAATAAGATCAAGTTGAATAGAGCTTAAACGATCAGAATTAGCTTGCACTTCATATGGATAATAAAGACGAATGGGTGAAAAAACTAAAAAATATATTAAATTAAAAAAAATATAACATAGAAACTAAACTAAAAAAACAAATTAGAAACATAAACAAATCAGTTATATTCTAATTTCAAAAGGCTAAAACTAAATGAATCTAACCAAACCAAACTGGTTTAAACTAAACTAAACCAAGTTAAAAAAAGACAAGGGATATAAATACTAAACTTTTTTTTCTTCCAACCCTAATCAGACTTAGTCGTCGCGCCTCCAGTCATCAAGACTGTCTCTTCATCTTTTGTACTCTCCTAGTCTTTATCTTCCAATCTCTTTGAAACTCCTTCTCGATAAGTAAGGTATACAGAGGTGTTGTTTAGTTCAAGTAAAAAAAAAATATGAAATTGAGAATATTATTCAATGGTGGGAACTTATAGCTTAAATTATTAAGAGAGATTTTAAAATAAGATTTATATTATTTTTTAATATATTTTTTTAAATAAAATCTTTTCGTACTTGAAACTTGCATAATTTTACATTATCTTGTGTTTGATTTTTACTAAATAAATAGGGATAGTAAGATTTAAACTCGTGACCACGTAATCATTAAAACTCTGATATTATATCAAAAAATAATCTCAACTAAATAATTTAAACTATTAAGTAAGATTTTAAAATAAAATTTTAAAATATAATTTATATTATTTTCTAATAATTTCT